TGAGTTTTTTTATTGATTTGCACTGTTTTCTGTTTTGCAGGAGTGTTTGCTGTCTATTGCAGTTGTTTTGGCTTAAGCCACGTCTCTCTGCTCTCTCTTCTCTCTCTCTCTCTCTTTTATTATGGAATTATAATGCTAAGTAAAAGTACTAATACCACAAACCATTGGTATACCAATAGTTCAAAATTAAAAATGATTAAAAATTAATGCAAATTATTAAAAGGGAAATCAGCAAATCCTCACATTTGAAAAATTACATGATTCTTTTGCAGAACTGAGTAATTTACTAATAAACTTAAACTGAATATTTTTTTTCTTAACTTGTAAAGTAACTTAAGGTACAACATTTTCCTCTGAAATTTACAATTACCAGAAGATGTAGACTACAACTACAAGTAGAAAGTGGAAAGAAAAGACCCTAAAATTCGTGTACTTCAGTACAGTACTGGAGTAAATGTAATTAGGTACATTCCATCACTGCCTTTCCATCTTAATTTAAAAAAGTCCTTAAATTCTCAGAAAAATAAACAAATACATTAAATAACAACTGGGCTACTACTACTAAGAAAGAGTGTGTGATATGATCAAAAGCTCCAGAACAGCTACTAAATGGACCCTGAGGTGAGACTGTCAACATTCAGGAAAACAGACCTGTTTTTATTAATTTATGAAATATGTTGGTTTTAGAGATACATGGTTTTTATAGGACAGCAATGATGAAATAAATATATAATGGAATAATCTGTTGTAATGTATTGATCAGTGTGGGTGGTCATGGTAATTGATTTGTTAGTTATTTGTTAGATATTTTCCAGCTATCAAACATTGAACTAAATGCAGCTGACATACAGATGATTTATTGACACTATGAAATATAAAATGGGGCAATAACAACTGGCACAGTTTGCTTATGACATTTATAAAGAGTAATGAACCATCACAAACAATCACATTGATTAGTATACTGTGAGTTTGTATGCATTTGTATGTGTTGCTAATGAGTTGTCTGATCCATAACTGTGTTGCTAAATGATTGTTTGTCTTTCCATTGCCATGCTCCCATGATGTCAAGCAATGACATATGGTAATCCATAAAATCTCTAAATGCATTGCAGAAACTGACCTTGAATGTGCCTCCTATTGTGAAGATTTGACACAATCCATAAAAGCCCATACACATGCAAATAATCCACACACACACAGCTTGCACTCCTGCCACCGATGATGACTTAGTAGTGCCCCAGAATTGAGCGTGACAGTATTTCCCAGCAACGGACAGTCACTGGACCAGGACATGTTTTTCAGTGTCTTCATCATATTTATGCCCACAGTGTGTGTTTAAACATCCTCTTCTCCTTCACTGTTCTGTTCTGTCCTGTCCGATTCTATACCCTTGTGTCCTGCCCTATCCTTTCCCATTTGACACTACTCTGTCCTCGGCCGTCTGGTCCTGTTCTGTCTGTGGCACTGTTCCATATTATTTTGTCCTGTCCTAGACTGTCTCCTCCTGTCCTGTCTTGTACTGTTCTGTCCTATCCCTTTCTGTTCTGTCCTGCCCTGTCCTGCACTGGCCTTTCCTATTCCAGCCTGAATTACACTGTTCTAGCATAGCCATCCATTCCTGTCCTGTGTCATCCTGTGCTGGCCAAACCTAGATTGTTCTATACTAGACTGTACTTTCTGTCCTATCCTGTAATGTCATGTCCTGTCCTTCACTGGCCTTTCCTACACTATTCTGTCTTGTCCTGTCTCATCCTATCCTTTTCTGTCTCAGCCCATTGCGTCCTGTCTTGTCCTGAATTGTTCTGTCCTGTCCTGTCTCTTTTGGTCCTGTTCTGTTATGTCCCATCCTGCACTGGCCTGTCCTATCCTGTCCTGTCTTGCATTGTACTGTTCTTGACTTCCCGTCTTGCGTTGTACAGTTCTAGACTGTCCAGTTTTGAGTTGTTGTGTCCTATCCCACTCAGTCCTGCCCTAGACTGTCCTGTTCTGACCTGTTTTGTCTAGTCCTACTCCTGTCTTATCCTGCCTTATCCTGCACGGTGTGGCTTATTCTGTTGTAACTTGCATCGTTCTGTCCTAGACTTTCCTGTCCTGTTCTGCACTTTTCTATCCTATCTCGTCCCTTCATTTCCTGTTCTATGCCATTCCGTGCTGTCTAGACTATCCTTTCCTGCACTGTTCTGTCCTTACCCTTGTCACGTCCCCTGCTGTCCTCTCCTTTTAATCCCATCCCATCCTGCACTGGCTTGTCCTATCCTGTCCCATCCAGATCCATACTGTTTTGGCCCTGTCTGGTACTGCACTATCCTGTTCCGTTCCCATGTTATCCTTTTCCATCCAGTCTTGCACCGTCCTGTTCCATGCCACCTACTCTCTTTATGTCACACCACTCTGGGTGCAACATGTGTTTGAATATTAAACATACAAATATGATTCATATTCGTGTATGTCTGCAGCCTCTGATGAGTCTTTGCATGCCTAATTGTTTGCGTGTGCAGCAAACTAAACCCAGTGCAGTCACCACAGCAGATCAAAGGCTTATCCTTGTGTTTGTGTCAAAGATGGGACTGTATCATTCTCCTCAGTCCACGGGGCTTGCAATTCGATTAATCACAGACAGAGTGGACACAGAAATGTCTTGTTTATACCATGACTCATCTCAAATGACAACTGGGAGAGAAATGCACTGTTTTCTGAGGAACTTGCTAACTTTGCAGATAAGTGTTACGTCACAGAGATGACATGGAAACTGGGTCAGGCCCTTTGCACGATGCTCTGTTTTTTTAGTGCTATTATGAAATACACTCAACAGAGGAAAACCGTGTCAGAGACTAACAGCAGTGGTGACATAACAGCTGAAATCCAAGCAGTAAGTAGTTCTTCAATGAGGTCATGGTTGTTTGGACACTGCATTTCTAATACCAGTTACATAGCGCTGCATTTGAGTCCCGTCCCCTCATGAGCAAGGTATTAAACCCCCTCACACTGAGGGTCAGTCAATGTTCTCTGCCTCATGCAAAATGTCTCTCTTACTCTTCCTCTCTCTCTTACACACACACACATATACACACACACACACACACACACAAGCAAACCCTCTCTCCATCTCTAAATCTCCCTCTGGGTAATCAGTCAGTGTGTATTTTTAAATCTGTCACTAATCTCTATTATTGGCATAACACACTGGACAAGGTTAGCGTTCATACTTTGGGTGCTTCGATATTTTTCTAAACACAAACATGCATGCATATATTGTTCAAAAATCTGAAACACACATTCTCTAACTTACAGTACCCTCATAGACAAGGCTGTGCACAACCTTTTGTGTGAAAATTGTGGAGGTGTTATATTTACAAACACAGATGACAGAACAGATGCCATAGACAACGTCTCTCTGGAGTTGGCAAGAGTTTAGGGTGCCTGAAAAATTGCAGGATTTGGCGGGAGAACAGTAATGCTAAAATAGGAACATAAAAATTAATGGAATGACTGACATTGTGTGCTCAGTTCAGTTTACTTTTGAAATTATGTTAACATTTTGAGCTTGATTAACACATTTTCATTCCTTTTCCAGAGTTCAGAGAATGTATGCTGTATCTTGACATGGATCTGTCTAATTCCTGCCTTTTCTCTTTACGCAGGAGAAGCTGCAGTCCTTTGCCTTCCTGGTGTTTGTGGTGGTGTGCATCTTGGGATCTATCTACCTTTATCTCGTTCTCCCTGAAACCAAAAATAAAACATTTATAGACATCAGTCAGAGCTTTTCCAAGATCAACAAAATCCCTGTCTTCTCCCCTGGCCATGAAATGGAGCTGGTTTTGTCCATTAAACCTGACATGAACGGAAAAGTCAAACATGTTGCTAAAATGGAGAGCTCCTTCTAGCTGGACTGTGAAGCAGGGTTGAAATACAAACCGAAAGTCTTTGTTGTTTGTACATATTTATTTAATGACGGTTATCAATGAAATAAAAATTTGTGCTTTTGGGTAGTTTCAATGTATTTTGTAGACCGACATGTTTTATATGACTAATGTTTAGGAATATCACAGTATTCAGTTTACAGCAATTATTTGTTTGTCTCTTATTAAAATGAAACAAAACATTTGTGATTTCATGTTCTGTTTACTTGTCAGTATAGAATATATCATCACAAATTGCATAAACCCTAGATTGTTGAGGTCCACTCATTTGGGGAATAGAAAAAAACAAAAATCAGGCAAATATTGAAAACACCAACTCTATGCTGATAACGAGCCACGGGTCACCAGAGAGCTAAAGTCTCAACCACAAAAAAATCATTCATAGAGGGGGACAAAAAAAAGATGAACAGAAACAAAAAAAATTGAGCTGGAGCACAAAACTGAGCTCTGATGCAAATATCAGATGGAGTAGAGGTTCACCAGGTGTAATACGAGGAAGGCGTGGCAAGGTGTCAGTAGCCCAGATACAGTGACTAGATTCCGCCTCCTTTGCAGAGCAGATCTTCATTACCAGGTATCACACGACTGACCCCGTGGAGCACTGGACCCCAACCAACATCAGCAATGTTGATGGTTGTTTCCATCCTCTCCAAGTTCCATTTGATGAAAGCTCCTTGACAGGACTGTCTCAAGGGCCAGATACTGAAGGAGAGCAGCTGGACGGTGTGGTGGTACAGTTTATCCAACTGTTCCTGAATGGCAGCTTCGTCCCTATGGAAGAAGGAGACAACTATCATCCCCCCCTCACAAAAAGCCCCATGCCTGGTCTTGGTGGCCTTCCTGACAGAAGAGCTCTCCCTGTCCACTTACTGCTTGATTTCACTGGGGACGGCTGTGTCACGTTCCAGCTGCAATGTGGAGCTTATCGCTGCTGTTCTGGACAATGCTTGTGATTCCACCAAAAGCGCCACAGCGTGTTTCAGAAACGTCACGGAAGCAGCTCTCCACTGGCTGGTTTTGACGGAAGCTGCACAGAGAAGATTGAACCAGGCAGGAAGGCAGACACAGAAAGGGCATAAAGAATTTGGTAAATTTTCAAAATAAATGCTGTGCTGTCATAAAAACAGAAAAAAAGGGAAACCATTTAACTATGTAGCCTACTTACCCGCAGTAGAAGCACAAAAATCAAGGAAAAATGACCAAATCTGAGCAAGTCAACAAAATCAGGTGGGATAGGAGGAAAAAAAACACCATGGTCCTTTAAAGGGGAACTTGGCAACTCTAGCCATTTCTTCACTGGTTTTCACTTTTTTTTTTTCTAGAAAATTCCTAAAGAAATGTTGAGTGTGCCTGCC